CGCAATACTTTGGAAGACTTTAAAAATAGTTTCCGTTGTCTTGTACTTTCATTTAGTCATTCACTTCTTCATACACATCTTTTCTAGCTTTCCACATGTCCTTTTATTGAGAACAGAATTTTCAGGACAAAAAATGAATAGGAACCTAAATTGTTATTTCTCCACATATTGTTCATTTACAGTAATGATATTATTAGGAATATTTTCTAACGTGAACTCTCTGCCGATGCCAAAAATCCCAATCAAGCCAAATCACAAGATGCCGAATTAAAGGATATCCAGGTTTTAATGGGATTCCTGCACTCTTTGGGTGCCCCTGAGGGGAACCAGGAAGCCACCAACAGGACCCTGGGGTGGGGTGGTGGGGCACAAGGGACTTTCCGGGTGAGCAGTTTAAATAGACTGCGGGGGGGGGGGGGGGGGTCAGGGTTTTGGCGGCCTTGACACTCCTGGGGGGGGGGGTCAAGGTTTCGTGGGCGTAGGGGTGGGGCCTCCAAAGATGGAGGCCTGAGCCGGGGACTTACAGATATCATGTGGGAACCTCAGGCACCTGTCCAGCCCTACTGAATTGGAGTTACAGTTTTAACAGGATCCACCAGTGATTCAAAAGCCTCCCCAGTATTAGGATGAACAAGATTGTAATGAGAAAGGTCTCTCTAGAACGATTCAGAGACAGCCAGGGATGTGAGATTTTAATATCACTGGGGATTGAGTGATCAGGATACAGCAGTCTTTTAAGCCAAGGAATAACATAAGCCAAATGACCCTGAAAAAAGAACAATGCACCTCTGCCATGCAAGTACAGAGAACTGGCAACCTCACTGAGCACTGAACAATGGCCGAGGAGCCTCCCAGGACTCCAAGACATCCAAAATTAGCTAATTTAAGTTAGGAGTCTAATAGTTATAATGCAGAAAAGACAAATGCTGTGGTAACCTACAGGAGAGACTAAAACTTAGTGTTCAGGTTTCTAGCACATTGAGTTAAATATAAGACAGCCTCCACCCTGGCACTGCCTCAGCAGAGGAAATATATCTTAGAAATGGGAGGGGGAGGCAATCCTATAGAAACTGATTTCACCCTCATATGATTTCCATAACGGGAGTTCTGCTTTATATTCCTTTAATTCAGATGGTGTCTATTTTCTAATTAGCCAGATATATTTAATATCTGTAAATACTTCATGGATATTGTTTTGAAAATGAAAACAAATTTGAAAAATGTGCTTATTTGACAATTATTATCTGTAATATGTTTTCCTTGAATGTTATCCAAAGTCCACTCCAGTGCTGGACATGCAGCTCAGAGATGGAGTGCTTCCTAGCATCCATGAAGTCCTGGCTTTGATCCCCAGTAGGACAAAAATAATTGTGAGTGTATAATACGTATAACAGCTACTTCAGATTGATTTTGTGCTAAGAATGAGTCTAAGATTAAATACACTGGATAATGAAGCCCTATACCCTTTTCTTTTAGGTGCATGTGGAGGAATGGAAAGTGGGATCTTTTCTGTGTAGTTCTCCCAGCAGGCCTGATGCTCACTGTATGCTCAGGTTGGCCTTTGAAGTATTGCAGTCCTTCTGCTTTAGGTGGAGCATGTGCTACTTCTATGCGATGCTGCTGAGGAAATCAAAGACAAAACAAAACAAAACGACAACAAAAGCAATGGTATATCTTCCTGACTGGGCTCTGTGAATCATCAATAACTTTTTTTTTTTATCAATAACTTTTTAAAAGCTTGAACCAGTACTTTTGACATTCGCTGTCAATTAGTACTGTCGCATTCTTCAGCGAACATAATAGCAGAAGCCAAAAGAAGGAAGGAGCTCCCTCTTTCACAGAGTGCCTCGCCTTCCTGTTGCTTCCAGATTGCTTGCATTCAGCAGAACAAGCTACAGTTCCTGCCTTGCCGGAATCACTGCACGCTGCAGTGAGATGTAGGAGTTACTTAATCAGGTCTTAGAAGCGGGGCTTCATGTGGGCGCTCGTGAAAGAAGAGCAAATGGAAAATATTAAGCTGCGCTCTTGATTCCTGCTTCTAATTTTAAGGAGGAAATCACAGATTAATCAAGCCCATGCTCGAGCCCAGAGGCATGTTTTTGAGATACCCCAAAATAACACAGAGAAATGCCTTTTTATGTTTGATAAAAAGCACCCTTGACTACTTGCTATGCATAATATGATATATTTCGATATGCAACATGCTGGAGTAAAGAATTTTGGTTACAACTAAAAATAATTGCTGGTCCGAAGGCGTAGCCCACAATAATCATGGTTAGGCATACATAGTCTTAGCACCGGAAATGAGTATCCAGGTGCACGCTCTGAGTTGAGGAAGGTGAGTGAGCCACGCTAAGAGAAGAGCACCACTCTTCAGTGAGTCTGGATAAGCAGGATGCTGCTTCTCCAGCAACATCTGTGTGTGTCATATGACTGAAACACATTGGTGATCCGGCGATTTGTGACTAACAAACTTACCCTCTACCAAGCAGCACAGAAAAACGTATTCCTGCTTCTTACACAGCAACAAAACGTAAGTAATATAGTCTCCAAAAATCCCTAGCAATTAATTTTCTAATATTTGCTTCTGACTCATATCAGGAAAACAAAGAGCGGTGCTGGAGAGATGGCTCAGTGGATGGGAGCATTGTGTGTGAGTATGCATGGGTGTGAGTGTACATTTGTGTGCATGGGTGTGTATGTGTGAGTATGTATTTGTGTGTATGTATGTGAGTGTTTGTGTGTGTCTGTGCATGTGTATGAGTGTGTGCTTACATATGTTTTCTGTTTAGACCCCCCAATCAGCTCTGTTCCACCAGTTGCTCCCTCTTTGCTGTCTAGGTTCTCCGGGATTAGAAACTGTAGGCTTTTTTCTTTGCTTTCTTAATAAAATATGATTACATCATTTCCTCTTTCCTTTTCTCCCCCCCCACCCCCACCCCCATGTAACTCCTGCCTTGCTCCCTGTCAGCATCATGGCTTGTCTTCTTCAGGTCATGTTTAGGCAGCCATGTCATGCTACCATGTAGGAAGACTCTCTACCATTTCTAGGGGACACCTCTTACAGCGGGTTTCCCGGCCCTCTGTCTCTTACAGTCCTTCCTCCCCCTTTTCTGTGACATTCCCTGAGACTTAGGCTTATGGGCTGTGTTATAAAGACATCGATTCAGATTGGTCTCTATGTGATCCTTTGTTCTCTGTATTCTGACCTGTTGATTGTGGTTTTCTATAATGGCATCCTGTCACAAAGAGACGTTTCTTGGGTGAGGCATGAGAGTCACACTTTCCTGTGGGAATAAGGACAGAGAGCATTTAGGGACCATGCAGGTTTAGGGGAGTGACGGCAGTAGGTTCTCTGCTAAGATCTGTGGTCAGTCTCACTAGTGCTGGGGTCTTCAAGAGGCTTCCAGGATGAGGCGTGGTTTCCTTCCTGTTGAGCTGGCTTTCAGTCAAATTTCACAGGTGTGGGAGACCTAGGATCGTCTATCAGCTTATTTCTGCTGTCCTCTGAGCCAGCTGCCACCATCATAAATACTCAAGAGACGACAACACAGCAGCCAACTTGCTGAGCAGTGTAGCGCATGGGTTCCATATCATGAAGTGGGACTTAAATCCAACCAAATATTGGCTGATTACTCCCACAAGTTTTGTGCCATTATTGCACCAACATCTCTTACAAGTTACCCTTGTAGATCACAGTGTTAATGGCTGGCTTGGTTGTGTGCGGAGTACCTTCCAGTACCAGGGATATTAGTCCATAGGGGTGAAGGTTTAGAGAGGAATCAGCTTGACTTCTCTATGTTCAATAAATTGTATAGCTGTTGTCTTCAGCAATGGGGCATTACTATCAGTTTGGAGAAAGCAATCAATAGCTTTGAAAGTAGCCTGTATTGCTTGGGACTTTCCATGGGGCCCCTCTTGGCCAACAACTTGGTTAGATGGAACCCATTCCTGGAACTGGAGGTTTCATTTGGTGGTTAGGCAGTCTAATTGGGGGTTTTTCTCCCCTGTTGTTTGGTCATTTAGGTTTCTTTCATATATGAATCTGTCTTAAGGCAGTGCTACTGTATTAAGTTTCCATAAGACCCCTCAAATGGATGTTAGTTTTAGCTGTCCCTCCCTGAATTCCATCCCTTACCCCTTTCTAACCTGCCCCTCTATGTTTAGTCTCCCCACTTCTATACATCCACAACTATCTATTGTATTTCCTGTTCCTAGGGAGCTCTATCACCTCTCCCCCAGTTTCTTACTCTGTGTCCATTCCCTGTGGCTATATGGATTGTAGCTTGGTCATCATTGATTTAATAGCTAACATCTATACATGAATGGATACACACCATATTTGCCCTACTGAGTCTGGGTTACCTCACTCAGGGTGATTTTTTTATTAGTCCCTTCAGTTCCTTATGAATTTCATGATTTTATTATTTTAACAGTCAAGTAATATTCCATTGTAAATGTATCATCTTTTCTTTAACATTTCTTCAGTGGAGGAATTTTTTCAGTTTCTGGCTATTATCAACAGAGCAACAGTGAACATGGATGAGTAAGTGCTTCTGTGGAAGGATGAAGCATCCTTTGGGTATATGCCCAAGAGTGGGATAGCTGGATCTTTTTTGTTATTTTGTTTGTTTCTTTCTCTCTCTCCCCCCAACATAATGTTTTATTAGTTATTTGGAAATTTCATACAATTCACTTGTATCATACTCACGTCCCATTCCTCCCAGGTTCACCCCCCTATCCTTGCTCGCCTCCCCCCCACCAAAAGAAAAAGAAAAGAAAAAAAAAAACTAAGTTATATTTGTGTTTCCCTAATGCACATTGGAGCCTAGTCAAACTGCCAGTGGCCAGTCCCTTAAAGAAAACTGAGACTCTTCAGTAACTTCATGTCCAGACTGCTTTTTGGGGGTGGGTGGGTCAAGGGAGGTTGTCACAGCAGCCTTCACTCTCTCTCGTTCTCAGATATGAGTCTGGAATCATCGATACCACTGCAAATTATGCCTCCATGCCCATAACAGCCCAGGGCAGCACAGATAATAGACATGAACAAGGTTTCTGGTGGCAGCACGGATGATGGACATCACCATCGTTTCCAGCAGCAGGGTATAGCTGGATCTTGAGGTACATCGATTCCCATCTCTCTGAGAAATTGCCACACTGGTTTCTATGGTGACTGTATAAGTTTATCTTCTCACTAGCAGTGAACTAATATTCCACATCCTCGTTAGCATGAACTGTCAATTGTTTTATTATTCTTAGCCATTTGGACAGGTGTAAGATGGAACCTCAAAGTGCTTTTGATTTTCATTTCCCTGAGGACTACTGATGTTGAACTCTTTACGTGTTTCTCAGTCATTGGTGTTTCCTCTTTTGAGATTTCTATGTTTAAGTCTGCACCCCATTTTTAACTGGGTTATTTATTTTCTCGCTGTCCAGTTTTCAAATTTTTCTTAACCATGCATTTATTCTTTTAATTTTCTGGTGAAAATGATTTCTCAAAGGGCAAAACAGTCAGCAAAGGCTTCTGAAACCACAGTGCAGCACAGGCAGGAGACCTTCCAGTATAAAGTTCACCATTTAGTGAGAAAGAAATTACAAACAGAAGCAGAGACTCGAAGGCAGCAAGCAGCATTAGTGGCCTCCACCTCACTGAGAAGGCTCTACAGACGTTGGCCATGACATCAGCAGCCCTTTTGAGGTCTACTCAGCCCTCCTCAGGGTGCTTTCCTGCCTGTGTGTTTCTCTGATTGCAGTGTTGTACAGGGTGAACCCTTACTTTCCTGTTTTCTGCTTTCACATTGTGTGAAAAGTGAGAAACCCTTATGTGGAAAATTAAGTATTTTTAATTGTAAGGCAGTAGGAGCTGGAGGTTTGTGGTTATCAGGGCTAGTGTGTGTAGGCTGGTGGAAGAAGACTGTGGTCAGACGGGCTGTAGAGGTGTAAAAAGATGTTCACAAGAGTAAAGCCAAAAACTACGTCTTTTGGAACAAAGCAAAACACTATACATTTCTCTCACAAACAAGACTGTCTCAGTATGTGTTACCAAGAAAGGGATGACCAGGTGTTATCGGTGCCTCAAGCTGATCTTTTTCAGAGCAATGACCCTGCCACTGAGTAAGATGCACACAGCTTCCTTTGGCCTGAAGATTATTCTATTTACTAAAACACGTGTTCTTTCCTTATCTACCAGGTTTACACTCAAAGCTTAGGGAGACAAAACTCAAAAAGAACATGATTTTTGACTTTGGGGAACTTAGAGGCTTGGGGCAACAGGAGTTCTAAGCAAACACGATGCAGTGTGGCCTTTGGTGTTGTAGTAGGAGTCATAGTTATTGTGATAGTATTTTATGATGAGAGGGGAACGGGGCCGCTAAGATCGGATAGAAACTGAGACCCAGAAGGAAAATTATCTATCCTATCCTTGGTGAGTCCAAAGTGTTGTACCTAATTTACATTTTATTCTAACTTGCATTACCAATCCAAAATTATCTTTTAAGTTCTCTCAACCTTATACACTTCACATTTCTTTAGGGAATTTCTTTTCTGAGTCTGGTAAATAAGGAAAACTATAACCACAACTATCTAATCTTTTTTTTTTTATTTGTTAGACAGTTCATGGTTCCTCAGGGAACATTATCATCCCATGTGGGGTAACTCCAACTCTATTAAAAAATATATGTATAGACACAGACACATACACACAAATCCATACACATAATTATGTATATTATATATTTTAAGGTAAGATTATAAATTAATAGGTTTTAACAGACATCCTTAGCATTATTTCTCTCCCTTCCCTTCTTCTCCCTCTGTGTTACCCTCAATAGTTATGCCCCACCCTCATTTATTTCTTTTCTCTCTTCTTGAGATTTCTAAACATCAAATAATTGCCTTTAATATCACATAACTAATAGTTAGGGCTGGATGTCTCGCTGAGGCGGACACCAAGGCCCGTGTTTGTCCACTTTGTTTATGGATCTCTTGAGAATGCTGGGTGGTAGCAGAGGCTGACTAGCTTCTTTGTTGGACTCCTAGGCTCACTATAAAAGGTCCCTTATCTACTTCTGTTGCCACAGAGGGGAGAGTCTCTGAGAAAGAACAACCGTTGGAAGATGTGGCTTCATCCATGACGAACAGGTGTGAACAGCCATGTGTGTTTCACATCGCTTCTTAAAGACTCTTAGGTTTAGAACTCTGGGAAGCACTTAGACTTGCTGTACTATACTCCTATTTTCAGTAAGTGCAAGGAACGTGAATTTCATATAGAACTCCAAATAAACTTACCCTCAAATTAAATAATGTTTTTGCTTAGCAAAAAGACTCACAGAAGGATTCAAGATCATCATTTTTTTTTTTTTACAGAATTATTGCAAAGATATAGGGCTAGTGGCCCCTGGTGCTTTTGTTTTAATTTTTGACACTATTATATATACAATGAACTATGATTATATTCACCTGCCATTACCCTGTTTCAACCAATTTGCACTCCCATTAATTCCCTTCTTTCCAATATGCTTCTGTCAAATCTCACTCCCCTCCTTCCTCCCTTTTTTCCTTCTTTCCCTGTCCCTCCCTCCCTTCCTTTTTTCACTCCTGTGTTTCTTCCTTCCTTTTTCTCCCTGATCCCCATGTAAGCAGTTATAGTTGCTGTGTGTTCGTGATTACAGTGACCACATTCTACCTAGAAGACAGTACCCAACTGTATTCCTTCTTTAGTTCTCAGTCTTTCTGCCACGTCTCCTGTAACATCCTGTTTTGAATCAAGCAGTTAGTAATTACTTACTTTCAACACTTTGGCAGTTATAGGTCCCCACTTCGATCGCTACCCACTGCTGAAGAACAGCTCTTTAATATAGGGTTAGACGTGAATTTTTTTTCTATGAGTGTAAAAATAAATAGTGGGTTCTGACCAGTTCCATAATGCCAGGCACGTATTCTTAGGCAGCAGGCTTCAAATCCAATCAGAAAGTAGTTGGTTAACCATAGATCATTTGTTTCAATATTGCACCAAGGGGTATATCTTCCCAGGAAGTTCAATATTAAAACAGTCAGAGTATACAGTCAGTGGTGATTTTGATAATTATTTTCTCCCAACAGCCTGTATAACACCTTTCAATGTTATCAATGGGAATGGGCATGAGGGAGGGCTCCAGTTCAGTTCCAGTAGGTTTCTCTGTATCCTCTGTTATTCATCTTCACTAATGGGGTCCTTGAGTCTAGTTCTTGTTGTCAACTGTGCTGACAAGCTTATGTCAACTTGATACAAGCTAGCGTCATTGGAGAGGAGGGAGCATCAACTGAGAAAATGTTTCCAGAAGATAGGGTAGGCAAGCCTATAGAGTATTTTCTTAATTAGTGGCTGATTAGAGAGGGGGGCAGCCTGTTCTGGGCAGTGCCATCCCTGGGCTTGTGGTCCTGGGTTCTATAATTAAGCAGACTGAATAAGATATAGGTAGGAAGCCAGTAAGCATCACTCCTCCATGGCTTCTACATCAGCTCCTCTCTCCGGTTTCCTGCCCTTGTGTGAGTCCTGTCCTGACTTCTTTCAATGAAAAACTATCATGTGGAAGTGTAAGCAAATGAACCCTTTCCTCCAAAAATTTCTTTCGGTCATGGAGTTTCATCAAAGCGATAGAAACCCTAACTAAGATAAAAATTGGTACCAGGATAGTGGGGTATTGCTGTGACAGACCCTTGTTTTGGGGAGGTCTGTGGAAAGACTTAGGAACTTTGAGTTAGAAAACCCATTGAGTATTGAAAGCTAAGTGACTTGTTCTGGAGGAGGTTGAAAGAAAAGAATATTGAGAGCCGTACAGACGATGGAGTCCTGGCTTGTGAAGTTTCAGAGGGAAGCAAAGGCTCTACTGGGCCTTTTGTGTGAAGAATCTTTGTGTCTGATCAGCTGGAGCTGAAGAATACACTGTGATTAACCAGCAAACAGAAACACTAACGTAAAACCCCTAATTTGTTGAGACAACAGATGTGGTCAGCTGGTGCTGAAGAATCAACTGTGATTAAGAAGAGACCAACATCATTGAAGCAAAGTCTTCTAGGAAGTGCTTCCTCAGGATCAGCAAACAGAAGCTGAGTTCCAGAGGCGGCCAAGTTTGTTCCTCATACTGACAGCTGAACTTGGTAGTCTAAGAATCACCTGGGTGGTGCTGGTTCTGAAGGCACGAGTGCTCATGAAGAGCAGACTATTGGTGAAGGTTCAGCCCAGTTACAGCAAGGGGTCACAGCAGTTTTGGAGATGCTGGAACCACGGGATAACCACTGAGAACAGCAGCAGCAGGGGACAGGAGCCAGCTGAAGCTTAGAAGACAAGCTGTGTGTACTTCCAGAGGGCGGGGCCCAAGAAATGACCCAAGCCCCTTGGAAGAGCCCAAAAGATGGTAAGTTGATCCCAGACCTTGCTTATGGAGTTATTTACACAGATGGAATTTAGGTTTCCTTAATTCAGACTGTGACCATGCTGTAGTTCTTCCCTCTTAAAGTAAGCAAGTATTTAATTTATTTTCAATGTGACAGGAGTCTGTAGTCGAGAGACTTTGAATTTTAAAATCATTTGGAATTTAAAAGAGACTGATCATTGTAAAGGGAATGAATTTTTCAGTGTTTGAATTTTTAAAGATTGTGGGACTTTTCAAATATTGGAATACTTTATATTGTGATGTTCATGTTAATGTGAGATCCTGGGGGGAATAAGAAAGGAGGAAAGGTTCCGTCTTAATCATGATGTGTTGTGTGTCAAGATGACAAGGCACCAGGTGTGCTGGTGAGTTTATGTCAACTTGACCCAAGCTAGAGTTATTGGAGAGGAGGGAACATCGCTTGAGGAAATGTCTCCAAAAGATCTAGCTGTAGGCAGGCCTGTAGAGCATTTTCTTAACTATTGATTTATGTGAGAAGACCCAGTCTATTGCAGATGGGGCCACCTCTGGGCTGGTGGTCCTGGGTTCTATAAGAAGCAGGTTGAGTAAGCCATGGAGAGCAAGTCAGTAAGTTGCACTCCTCCATGGCTTCTGCATAAGTTCCTGCTTCTGGCTCCAGCTCCTTTTGATTTTTTCTATCCTGACTTCCTTCAGTGGTGAACAGTGACAGAGGAATATAAGACAAATAAACAGTTTTCTTCCCAAGTTGCTTTTGGTCCTGCTGTTTCATCACAACAATAGGAACCCTAACCAAGGGCAATCGTAGTGTTTTGGAAACTTCTCAGTTCCATCTAGCCAACAATGCATATCCTGAAGCTGGCAGTAGTATTTTGGTTTTAAAATCCTTAACTTCTGGGATCAGAACTTACCACCCACAAGGATAATTAATTTAGTTCAAGTTCAGTTTTAAAGATCAATTCTTTGAAGTTAGCTGTAAGTTTTTTAAAGAGACTGTTTTGGGTTCTGGCACAGAGAGTTGCTCTGGTGTCATAAGGCACAGCTTCCACGCTGCCATCATCCACCAGAGCTGTATATTTCTAAATACTCATGAACCTATACATCCCGCCATGCATTTAAAGTTTACGTTAATCTTTATTCCTGACAAACATTCACCAGTTTTGTAAAAGTGTATAATGACTTGAATATACTATTACATCATCCTGCAAAGGATCTTCACCCTCTTCTGTTCTCTGCCTAGTCTTCCCTCTCTCCCTCCCTCCCTCCCCTGATCTGTAGCAAGTACTCTTTTCACCCTCTTGATAGTTCTTTGTCTTCCAGGGTGTTAGATATATAGTTGAAGTCATGCTATAGCTTGCCAAACTACTCAGAAACAATAATTTGACTTTGCCTCCATATCGTTTTATGATTTGCTAGCTCATTTATCTTTTGGTTCTGAATAACATTCTGTTGTGAGATATAGCAGAGTTCAATTATTCATGTATTTACTGAAGGACATCTTACATACTTCACATTTTGGCAATCATGAATGAAGCTGCTATGAATACGTATGGTTAGGTTTCTGTGTGCATATAAATTTTCAACCCACTTAAAACAACATTAAGGAACACATTTCTAGAACATATAGTAAGTACATGATTACTATATACACCTGAGATTTATAATGATATGCAAATGGGTATTCAGATGAATAATAATCATGTTCGATATCATGGCTTTTTCTAAGCAATGATGCTACCTCATTTTTTTTGCTACGTGTTCTGATGGATTATATGATTTAATCTTTACCGCCAGATAGACTTCTATAATATACAAAACATTTCTGATAGAGCCTCAGGAAGATCAAATAACTTTTACCAGCTGATGTTAGATGTAAATTCAAGATTTAATTCAGACCATCTGAAAACAGAACTTACCTCCATGTCACAGTAGTTGAGAATCACAACCCTAAATATGCTAGGCAATTATTTTCTTACTGGTTACTATAGAGTATGTTAAAAACAAACAAACAAAAAAGGTGGTGGCAAGGTCCAGGTAGTTTCTTATAGCGAATTTTCATCAATGAGTTCTGCCTAATCCACCATATCTGGCATTTTCTTTAAAAGACTTCTGAAATACATTGATCACATAGTGGCTTTTTCAGAAACCCGAGGAGAATAAGAACAGCAGAAACCAATCTGAGTGCTCAGAAGTTTTTGTTGTTTGGACCTACTTCTGTGTGTCTTCTTACAAAAACTCCCACCAGTCTGGGAAAACCTGTCCTATCTCTTTTTCTTGTCTTCTCCAGGAACCTGACTCATATAACATTGCGAGAAGCCAGTGAGTTATGTATGGATGGGTGTGGAAAATGAAAATGTAGCCTGGAACTTCTCTGTGAGTCAGAGACTACTCTGCAAGATTGGAATGTGACTCCGCCCATCACCTTCTGGTTTGTGGATGATACCTTCAAGAGTTAGAAGAAAGAATTCCTGGCCCGGATCTACTACCAGGCTGCAAAAGTTCTAAGATACTTTAACCTTTCATTTCTTGGGTGACTCTGGAATTGTGTTTAATTCTTTACAGCACATTTGCACAGTCCTAGAACTGCCAAGGTGATACACATTTATACTTAAGCTGTTTTTATTAGAAACATAACTTACAAACATACTTCTCCTGTATAGTTGTTTAGGCTGTTATGATTTCATATACTTTGTTATAGAATTATGACTTACTTTTACCTAGCATAGATAATTTCTTTTCAATTCAACTTCCAGTTCAAGTCTAGGTAACAGCTTCCTTAGGGTGTCTCATGTGTAAACAGTTGGACTTCTCATCTGCTCAAATGCCTGGAATTATTACCACCTTCTCTAAAACTTGGCCATAGGCAAAATCTTTGAATAATGTATTCGCATTTGGCATGCAAACTCAAAATCCGAGAATTGAAGATAGTCTTTTAAAACCGACATAGTACTACAAGAACTTCAAACTAGCAACTTAAAAAAAAAAAAACAAAACCAAATGTGTTCTTCCAGTATATCATTAACCTAAATATTCAAGACATTAGAGATTTATTATAACCATTCCTAGGATAATTGATGGCCCATTTACTGTCTTTCTTATCCGTAGAGTTTGCTTTGATAGTGCTCTGCTAACAATACCTTTTTAGTATTTTTCTCTTATTAATTTTTAATGAGTTTCATTATGACATTTTTATACAAATGAATAATTATACCTTTTACATTATAGTTATTGAAGAAATTGAAATATATTTTTTGTAATGAGTTTAATTACGACATTTTCATGAAAATGACTTACACTTTTTACATTACAATTTTCTGAAGACATTAAAATATGAAAAAGAAATCTGGTTTTTATAAAGTGAACTCTCAGGGAGTATTATCTCCAACAGTATAGATTAAACCCACAGTAATACAGCATTTGCCCCATAAAAATGTTGATGTCACAGAGTCAAAAGAAGGCCAATAAGACTTGAGAAAAGTAGCATTTTTAAAACTTCTTAGGCTATAAATCTCTATTGGAAAGAAGTCAGAAATATTATTCTCTCATAAACCTGAAGATAAATATGACAGAATGTTTTGTTAAAAATTCACTTGCTGAGCTGGGCAGTGGTGACACTCTGTTTTAATATCAGAACTCAGGAGGCAGAGGCAGGAGGATCTCTGGATTCAAGGCAAGGCTGTTCTACAGAGTTAGTCCCAGAACAGTCAGGACTACAAACGGAAACCCTGTCTTGAAAAACCAAGAAAAGGAAACAAACGAACGAACAAACAAACAAATAGCCCCCCCAACTCAGTTGCTTACACTGCTGTTAGAACGTCTGTAGGAGATAAGTATGTTTTTGCTTGTGTTTCTGTTTTTCTTTTGTATTCTGTCAAAGTTATATTTAATCCATGGAGATGAGCTATCTTTGCTATCTGAGGCTTTGTTCATGGCTATTTCCATCAAGCCCACTGTTTTCCTGGTTATACCATCATAAACCAATACTTCTGTTTTAATAATTTGCTAAGGCAAGAGTTCTTATTCTGTATTTACTTTTCTGTTTTGTTTTGTTTTTGTTTTTGGTGGAACATTTAGACAGCTGTTCTTAAAGCACAGGGGTTTTCCAAATGGATGCATGTTTGTTGCTCTGCTAAAATCATTCACTTTATAAAGGAAGTACCATAGTAGCCAAAGTGCCTTTAGTCCCTTCCACATCCTGATATCAATGAGAAAACCCTTTGTCCAGTTCTACATTAAAGGCAAACACTGCATTTTCTTGCAAATATTTCAAAGCCATTTAGTATACGGCAAGCCCAGGACCTCTTTAAAAATCATAAAGATGTTTTCCTGAGAGAAGTACATGTGAACAGGATGAACAAGGTCTATGGAGTCAGATGGTTTGGTTTGTACACCCTTTCAAACCATCAGGGCCATTGGGCAATCGCTGAAACTTTCTGAACACCCAATGTCTTGTGTGCCATGTGAAAATTATGCCTATTTCAGAGTCTTTGTAAGATTAGGAGAGATGAAATTTGCCTAGCACTCAGACTTTAGGTACCCCCATTCTTCTTGTCTATGATAATTTTTCCCTTAAGTGAAAGGGAACTGATCCATACCAAGTTTCTTCATGTCTGTGGTTGAAGTATTCACATTTTATATATGCAACCTTTTCTTGGCTCATAATTTTTCTCAATTACTTTTGCCCCCCTCCTGCTATTGGTGACTGCTTTGACATTTTACACCTAATTATTAAAAAAATTTGCCTTCCAGTTGCATTAAAAAAACTTATTTGATGATTGATCAAGATAATGGTTTTATGTTGATATGTAAGATAAAATAAAGCTCGTCTTGTTCCCCATATTCTCTCTTCTCATGCTGCCATTCTCATATTATAGCCAAATAATAGTCTTGGGCAGTGGTGATGCACACCTATAATCCCAGCACTTGGGAGGCAGAGGCAAGTGAATCTCTGTGAGTTTGAGGGCAGCCTGGTCTACAGAGCTAGTTCCAGGTCGTCTTTGTTAGAGTAATTCCATTACTCTATGTAAGCACAAACTGTAGAAGTGAGGCACAAGATATTCTACAGTTCTTTATCTAACAGTGAATGTTGTTTCCTTTGTAATTATTAAATATTTCATTTACTCATTTTGACATAATTTTGAATCTACTTACTGATAATTGAAAGCCCAAATGTCCACCCAATATCCAAATGATATTTTTACACCAAATTCATGCAGAAATCTCCTAAAGCTTTCTGTCCTGCTGTAATTGGGGTGATTTTATAATTGGTCAATTTAACGGTGACTGTACTTACTTACTCTATGAAGGAGCTAGGCCCACTGTTGTCTTTGATGACAACTTGGTGGCCATAGGGTCTTGAGATTAAAAAAAACTGCCAGGGTTCCAGAAATCCCTTTTTTAACCTTTGTTGTAACCATATATTCTAGGTTTGACTTTCTTTCTTGAGTCTTCTCATAGAATGCAGCCTCTCTGTGTAAATAACAGATGGGCACTCTTTTTTTTTACCCATATGAGGTTTCTTAGTGTCGTTCTGGCTGTCCTGAAACTGGTTCTATAGACCTCAAACTCAGAGATCCTCCCACCTCTGCCTCCAAAAACTGGGATCAAAGGCATGGGCCACCATGCTTAACTAGGATAGACACTCTTGCAAAATATATCCTATGTAAATATCTGTGGTGCTGTGAAAGAAAATGGCCCTGAAAGGGAGTGGCACTATTAGGTGATGTAGCTTTGTTGGAGGAAGTGTGTCACTCTGGGGGCGGGCTTTGAGGTCTCTTTTGCTCAAGCTTCCCTCAGTGTGACTGTCGGTTGACTTCCTGTTGCTACAAGACATAGCACTCTCAGCCCCAGCACATCTGCCTGCACACTGCCACGCTCCCTAACATGATGATAATGGTCTGAACCTCTGAAAATGTAAGTGAACCACCCCAATTAAATTTTTTTGTAAGAGTTGCTGTGGTCATGGTGCCTCTTCACCTAACTAAAATAGAAGTATATACACATTTATTTATTCTATTATTTGAATACCAATTACATAAAAGGTGCTCATTTCATGAAAAATTAGGGAATGAATATTAATTCCTTTTTAAATTAGATTTTTTCATCCAATATATTTTGATCATGTTCCTTCCTTTCCCCAACTTCTTCCAGATCCTTTCCACCTCCCTATCTACCCAACTTTATGTCCTGTCTCTCTTTCTCTTCCAAAAAACAAAGACAAAAAGAAATAAAACCTGAATAAACAAAATTCAAAACAAACAAGCCCAAGATTAATTAGACAAAACAAAATGAAAGTGAAACAAAAAGTCCACAAAGAAACATTGAATTCATTTTGTGTTGGCCAACTACTCCTGGGCATTGACTCCTGTGGTGAAACCATGTATATAAGTATATGAGTACTTATTTTCCCTTCACTAGTGTGTATCAATTATAAATACCTTCTTGATTAGGGGTGGGACTCAGTATCCACTTCCCTCTCTCAGTGCTGAGACCCTGTTTGGCTTGAAATGCTGCAGGTCTTGTGAGTGCTGCTTCACATTGCTTAAGAATTTCTTCTGTCTGTCCATTAAAGGTTGATAGATGTTGTGTACTGAGAAAAAAAACCAATGAAATATCCAGATGAGACTTACTTGGTATAAATTGAGCCTGTGATTAGTCCCCATGACCAAAAGTCACTAAGAGCCACTGGTCAAGTGGATGTCAGAGGATATAACAATGTTGTTTCAAGACCATTTCAAGTTAAATTCAATTTGCCCCCAAACCACTACTGCATTTTTCCTCCTTAGTTACTGTCTTAGTTGGGGTTTCTATTGCACAATGACCATGACCAAAATAACTTGGCAAAAACAGGGTTTATTCAGCTTACCCTTCCATATTACAGTTTATCATCCAAGGAAGCCAGGACAGGAACTCAAGCAGGACAGAAACCTGGAGGCAGGAGCTGATGTAGAGAACATGGAGGGGGGTGATGCTTACTGGCTTGCTCTTCATGGCTTACTCAGGCTGCTTTCTTATAGAAACCAGTACCACCTGCCCAAGGGTGGCACCACCCACAATGGGCTGGGCCTTCCCCCATCAATCACTAATTAAGAAAATGCTCTGCAAGCTGGCCTACAGCTGGATCTTTTGGAGGCATTTTCTCAATTGTGGCTCCCTCTTCTCAGATAAGTATAGTTGATGTCAAGTCGACATAACTCTAGCCAGCACAGTTGCAGTGTAGATAATTATA